GTTTCGCAATAAATCCAAGGACTTTTCCGTCAAAGGTTCTGCCTTCCTTCAGAAATGAAATGAATGGAAAATGGACGGACAGGGACGGGCTTCGCATAGGACATACATGGCTGACGAAGAAACATCTATTCGATGGAATTAGTTCCCCCAAATGCGAAGTATGTAACTCTGAACTCACCGTTGAGCATTAGAATGATGCAAAATTTGAAATTTTCGCTTCACAATACTTAAACGATTCCAAATAGGATCCTGACTAACCTCTCAAAGTTTGAACCCATTTTGTGAGATACTGATATGGCACAAACCATTTGAAGTTTGTATGGGAATTACTATGGTAAAACCAAGATTTTTGTTCATGTCTATCTAATAATTCACCATATCGGTCTGCTTCAAAAGCTTTCAACTGTACTTGTAGGAAATTTTCCCAGCTACAACTTTGCTCAAGCCCAATTTTTTGATTAAATGCAAGGATCGAAAGTTATCAATGGTTCAATGCACTGATGTCTTATGATCATGCTCAATCAACTGCTCAGCAGGCAACATTGGTGTTTCTGGGGCATTGAATAGGACACAAAAATCATGGCTACTATGTCACACTGCAAAATACAGTGTTGCCTACAGAGCAGCTGCTTGATCATGGCATAAGTTTACCAATCTCTTATATAATTAATAACTTTTTCCTGTCTCGTTTTACATAGAAACGATCTTCAGCAAAATTGTAGCTGAGAAAATTTTCTATAAGAATGGCTATTGAACTGTTTCGCAGCTCAATATGAAAAACTACAAGGGACAGCCCTATGGGGTTGTACGCAATGGTCACGTAGGACAACGTGGTCTTATATAATAAATCTTATTTGTTAACTACAATAGGAGCTTGTATTTTGTGTGGACGCAGGCAAAAGAACGTAAGAATTCTATAAGAAACACTTATGAAATTTAGCCACAAGAAATCAGTATGAATTTCATTGATTTGCTTTATGAAAAATAATGTTGGCACAAAAATAATAAATCGGAACAGAGATTACGGGGCCCGTGTGTTGACCACTCGTATTTCCACGCTTGGGAAAATGCAATTGTTAAAGCTGTATAAGAGCTACCTCATGTGACCCGAAAATCATTCATAAGTCACGCTTATGAAATTCATATGTGTTGTTCATAAGTCGAGCCTTATGAAATTCTTAATTTTATTTACCTCAGTGTACACTGAGGCAAATAGACTTAAGAATTTCATAAGGCTCGCCTTATGAACAACAAATATGAATTGCATAAGCGTGACTTATGAATGATTTCCGGATAACATGAGGTAGCTCTTGTACGCATTTAACCACTCCATTTTTCAAGCGTTGAAAGACGAGTGGTCAACATATGGCCCCGTATTCTCAACGTCCATGGTTCGGTTCAAGTCTGTTCCGATTTATTATTTTTTTGTCAACATTATATTGCATAAGGCAAATCAATGAAATTCATACTGATTTCTTTTGGCTAAAATTCATAAGTGTTTCTTATGGAATTCGTTCGTTCTTTTGCCTGCGTGTAGGAATAGGAATTTGAGCGGGGTTATCTCTATTTATACTCTTTAGTATGACGCACTTGACATAGATGGCCCACAGCGACTCACGAAGAGCTACAGATTCCGATCAATAGCGGTGTGGCTTCTCCTTCTATGGATGCTCATGTGGGCTGCAGCCACGCGCTGAAAGCACTGCTGCTGCTGCTGCTAATGCCGACGACCAGACACCACCGCACAAGGTGATTGGAACTGAATCCGATCATCGATTGAGGCCAGCCTTGATAGCTAGCTGCTTGTGGGGAGCCTATCGTTGTGTTCTGGAAAGTACCACCACTCACCACGCGGTGATTGAATAAACACTGTTTGGTGAGACCGGATGGAATTCAACATTGAAATCTGTGTTAGGGGAATCGCTTTTCGCAGGCAAACGGTGATAATCATAGCAACTGTTACACATTCGTGCAATTTTTAATAGTGACATTTTGAAATATGATAAAGTCTTAAATTAAACGGATGCGTAGAAATATTTCTGATCGATTGGTGATAAAATTATTGAAATTGGTCCAGGGGCAGCTGAGTTATTAACGTACAAAATCTTTCATAATTTTGTTACATGTTCCATTTTTGGTTTTCACAAAGTGTACCCCCATATAGAAATCACAGACGTAGTCCTACGTCTAAAAGTCTAGAAGGCAATGAACAAAAAAATGAGATTTCCCATAGTAATTTACATGTAAACTTCAAATGGCTTGTGCAAAGTCTGTTTCTTACCAAATGAGTTGTAACTTTGGGAGGCTAATCAGGACCCGATTTGAAACCATTTAAGCACTGTGGAGCAAAAAAGGTCAAATTTTGCATCAGTCTATTGAGCATATATGTACTGCTTGATTGTATAAAATTTGATCATATCAGGTAAGAAATAGGATTAAGTAACAACCTCCATACTATTCTAAGCAACACGAAACAAAACGAGACAAAATTACTGAAATTCATAAGAAAATGTAAACTGTTCAATGCACTATAAGAATTATAAACTAAAGTATTAATCAGAGGCGAATGAACCTTCAGGTTTAAAACCTCTATAATAAAAAAAAAGATTAATCTGATAGCGCCTAGAGGAGCCAGTCGGATGAGGCTATGTTTGAGCTTCTGCAGCGGAACTCGGCTTTTCATATCTATCAAAATGGGTCAAGTTTACCCAGATAGAAAAAAATGTCAACATCTGAGTAAGCTTTACCCAGTTTCGTTCAAAAATATAATCACCCAAATCTAGGCAAATGCATGTTTACCCATTTTTGGAAAGGTTCAGTTTTGACCGAACTTGTAGACTTTGCCGAATTTTGAGTACTTTTCAAATAGCTTGTAGGCATTTAACGCTTTTGTAGTTAGCAGTTTGCTAGCTGTCAACCTAAAACAAATATTATTCGTATAAGACTAATCTTATTTTTTTCTATTACATATTATATTCTGTTTTGCCATAACCTTCAGTTTGAATTATTTAGAACAGGTTATTTATCACAATAGTGGGTAAAATTTTACTCAACTGTGAGTTGTTATTGAATGCCTTGTTGATATTGATCTGTGAACTGCTAAGCGCTCATCCGTCGCAGATCCAGACATAGTTTCAAGTAAAGAGCCTGAATTTATAAAGAGACGCCATGTCAAAATTGGAACAATCTATTGTCTGTCAAAGTCATAGGAAAAGTCATTCCAATCGAGCAGAAGACCTGTCAAGTGGATAATATGTCGACTCTTTATAAATTCAGGCTCTTTAGTTTCAAGATCCTGTAGCTCAATTTTCTCAAAGAAAAAAAATACCAAAATCATCCTTCAAAGCTGGAATTGACATTTTTTTTTTTGAGATCTCGGACATGGGAAACAATATTGGAGTCAAATTAATATTAGAAAATAGTAATAGTTCCGGATTCCAGACAAAGAAATGTTGATCAAATCCAAACTTTGACCTAACGATTCATTCGGAGTAGAGATCAATTTTTCTTGAAAGCGATCGATTTTGTGAAATTCACCGAATCACCCCTCAAAAGCCCTCAATCCATATTCCTGTAGAGCACTGTTTAACATTTTTTTTTATTAGGAATGAATCGGCGTCCACTTTTCAGCCAAGTTAAAGCTCTGCCACATTTGACAATCACAAACAAATATCAGTCAAATCGAGTCAAATCCTGAATAAGTTGATCATCAGCTAACGTCTCCAAAGCACACAATTGCCTCCTCGGGTCTAGCCTGCTTGGTGGCATACTCTTTGAACTGATGGACGTCGTGTGTCCGAATGTTTGGCGACGTAAGCACATGGGGGAGGGGAGAAGCGACACCTCCTACATGAGTATAGTTGCAGCCAACGCGGATAAGCTAGGCACCGTGGCAGATGGAGGCACGGGTCGGGTGGGGAAGGCCAGCATTGAGGGAGGACACAAGCCTGAACGCTAAAAGTTAATTGTTTGGCCGGGAGAAACGCGCGATGGCCACGTCATTATAATGAAGTATAATGGCCAGAAACAATCGGTTATACCTACAATTATACGGAAGGTAGGTTAGGTGGGCAGGCAGGTAGGTACTCTCCACAAGACCTGCGTTGCGCGTTGGGCCTCCGAGCCTCCGATAATGGCAATTAATGTTTGTGCTTCTATAGCTTGGCTGTTTTTTTTTGTTTTGTTTCTGCCTGCGAATGTGTGTGCGTGTAGATAATGTGGTTTAAATTGAAATAGATTGTGCCTTAGCTGGAAATTGAATCGGGTGCAGAGGTTGCGATTAGAGGTGGCATTGTTCGGTTTGGTTCGCGTTATAGCTGCTATTAAGCAATTGAGGTTTTGATTGCTGCAATTGGAATAAGGGATTTGTAAAGAAGAGAACTCCAAGGTACTTGTGAGTAGAATTGCAAGAGAAGAATGAGAATCCAAAGGGAATTCTGATAAAAATTCAATGAACAGGATGATTCCAAAAGAATTCTGATAAGTATTCCAAAGGAAATCTATGAAGTATTACAAAAGGATTTCTAAAGAAAATTTCAAGAAATTTTCTAACACAGTTTCAAGCCTATTGCTGTAATCATTTTAAGAGAAGTCAAAGAATAGCTCCTAGAGAATTCTGAAGAGCATTTCAAGGAATTTTCAGCACTGCTCATAGTGAACTTTATAGGGAATTACAAAGATAATTCCATGGGAGAAAATTTTTAAACCCAAAGAATTTCCGGACCTGGAATCGAAATGCCTCCGGCTTGGTAATACCATGCCTTAACCGAGTAGGCCCTCCCTACGATCAATAAAATGCGGAATTTCGTTTCCAAAACTCTTCCATTCCCACACCGTGCTACCACCACCACTACTTGCTTGCACTCTGATTGTTTTCTCCACTCACCACCATGCCCATCTTACGGGTAGTGCAATTTTAATGGGCTAGGACCACAGAGCCAAGCGAAATCCATCAGCTCTTGTTCGCTTATCAAACCACGAGAGGCACTCACCGGCAGGCAGCAGCAGCAGCAACGGGTCGAGCGCGGTCACTATTCAATGCCTACCAAGTTGTTTATCGCAGGAAAAATAAAAAACTATTAGCCAAAGCGTCATCGCTGTGTGGTCTCTGTTCGATATAGGTAATAACTACCTACTTACTTGCTGCAATGGTTGATGTGAGCGCTAGACAAAACAAAGTCTAAATTGGAAAACTGCAAACACAAAAAAAAAGGTCGAGTGTGCGGTAAACAAGCCTCCCCGGAATCAATTAATAGTTTCATTTTAGCAGCATGAAATTCGACTGATGTGTGATTAGTGTGGTGAAGTGGCGGATAAACAATAGCAATAACGTAACGGAACGGGAAATTGAGTTGGCCTCCGATAATTATTGTTTGCGTCGATTATTCGCAGTTTGGTGCTTTGATCCAAACGATTAGTGCCAAGCGATTAGTGTGTGCGGTAATTTTCTGGTGTTTTTAAAATTCTGTGACAAATGCGATCGAAAAATCCTCTCCCCCTGCCGGCTTACGATGCCGATGCCGATGCCGATGGGGAGATGGAACTCCGCGATGATCCTGAACGAACAGATCGAGTTGGAAATGACTCAACGCTGGTAAGTTCTCACTCTTTGCGCTAGATTTGGTCCCCGGCTCGTTGGGAAAACAAAACAGGTTCCCCGTTTTTGTTTATATTTACACAACCACTCGAAATTCTTCTCCGCACTGTGGTCGTTCATCGTCGCATTGTGCAGTTTGGACCTAACCTCACTTTTTAAGAAAAGAAAAAAAAAACGGACGAATCCTGCCGTGGGATCCCAATATTGAAGTTGGTTCGGTTCGTTATCCCAACCAGTTTTCTCTATACCAATAATGGGGCAATGGCATCTCACTTTTGTCGTAAACGTGTGTTGTTGTTGTTGTTTGTGCCGAACGAAAGGGAAACTGTGAACCGGTGCGGTGTAAGCATTTTTTTACGTTCTTAGTGCTGCTGGTAAAACACCACCCATTCACAATTTTTTTTCTGCCGGTGATTGTCTTCGGGAGGGATATCTACTCTTGAAGGAACAGTAAGTGCGAGGCGCCCCGGTCTCTGTCTGGTGAGTGGGAGAGAGGGTGCCGAAGTGTGCCACGAAAATAAGATAATAATGCACACCGTTTAGTTCGTCGTATGCCTGTGTCTGCCGGTGGTGGTGTAAGAGTAATTAGGAAAGTGGTTGGTAGTTTTTTTGGGCAGAGGCCGATCAGGGCGATACTACTGAAAGGTGGTTGCTGACTGGAGCAGATGTTTTCTGGTGCACCGGCTGCGATTATTTTTCTGGGCCGGATGTTCTGACACCGCACCGGACGCGTGTTGTTTGTGGTAAAGATCCGTCGATGTTTTCGATCAAGGACCTCAACCAGTTACCCAAGACAGAACTTTCACAGTACGATACTTTTTTGGTGTGACGTATTGATGGAAAATAACTTATTTAATTGATCTTCTTGTTCGCATTTCAAGCTTATTGTTTATCGCATATTAGCTCATCGGGTACTCTCAACTTAGTGCTCTTAGAGCAAAATGCACTTCCATAGTTATAAATTGAAACCTTTCGATGCCTGTAGCATTTTTGCATTAGTATAATTACGTGGGCAATTAAAATCATACTCTATTCCCAGGGAAGTCGAGAAATTTTCTAATCCGAAAAATTCGTAGAATGGACCGAGAAACCAACGCAGCCATGATCTTGCTTTGTAGCTGCGCCTTTATCGACTGAGCAAAGGGAGGCCCCAATTTTGATACCTTTGAAATAATGTTTACACTCAACCGGTAAATGTAAGATTCTTTTACAGATTTGCATTAAAAGTATACAGAATTTGTGTTTCACCGCATGAATAGGTTTTGTAATGTGGTCTTCGGAAGCTTTTTTTAAAATAATTTTGCAGTTTTAATGTTAGCTAAATTTCAAACAAAGTTTGATTGCCCAAATGCACTGCACATATACAGTGACCTGCCCAAAAAAAGATCCACCCTTAATACATGTAAACATTTAACATGTTAACAAAACTTATTTCTTTTCAAGAGAGTCTGTGATTTTGATTTATATTCCGTAAAATTTAAACCAGGGGTTAATTTCGCCTTCATAGTATTCATGATTTTTAGTGCAGAACTTCCATTATCCACGGCCCATACAAATTTTAAAAATAGACAATTGTCTACGCGTGTGGGGAGGGGGCAATAATCCCAAAAAACTGCCCGGCATCCAAACAATTAGAATTTGAAATCTTCATGTGTTTTGAGAATTCATCCAGTTTTATCCTCTTTTTTTAACTAGTTCGTTTATTAACTAGGCTCACTCGTGTGCGACACTTTGTTGAGTCAACAATCCTTAACTTTTTAATTAACAATTTTAACATTTTAAACAGCAGTAAATCTAGGTTAGTATTGGGTAGCACTTACTCGTGGCGGGCTCGAGGTAAATGGGTAACAATTTCGATTGGAAGGAGCTAGGTAGGAAACTGGTTTCTGAAGCCTCCTTCAGCTACTATAGACTGTTCCAGAAAGTATAAGCACACTTTCAAAATAATAAAAAAGTCATGTTTTTTTTTTAAGTTTTAATAATTTTATTTGACAAATCATATTTGTATTTGTATTTCAAATGATATTTTACTCTCGTTTAATCTACATATTTAATCATAGCCAAGACTCCTAACTTTTCCTCGAACATGACCCATTAACTTCTGCACAGTGGTACTTCCCACCATTTTGACCACTTTTGGCCAATCTTTTTTGAATTTTTGGATGTCGTCCGCTGGTTTTATTAATTTTCGAAGCTTTGCTTACTTACTTAAGGGTCCTGTGCACCACCAGCGGTGCAAAGGGCCATCGTGAAAGACTTCCATCCTGGGCGGCTGCTCGCTTTTGCCTTGACCTGGGCCCTGGTCAGATTTCTATCGACTTGCTTAATTTCCTTATTGAGGCTCCGCCGCCATGAGCCCCTGGGTCTGCCTCTGCTGCGATATCCTGCTGGATTCCAATCCAGCGCTTGCTTGCAGATTTCGTTTCCGCCCCGTCGAAGTGTGTGGCCGACCCACCTCCACTTTCGCTCTCGAATTTCTGTTGCTATCGGCTTCTGATGACATCGACGATGGAGCTCGGGATTCGAGATCCAGTTGTGAGGCCACCAGGCACGAATTATATACCGCAGGCATCGGTTGATGAAGACCTGCAGCTTTTGAGTGTTCTCCGCTGATACACACCACGTCTCGCTGGCGTATAACAACACAGACTTCACGTTCGAGTTGAAAATTCGGATTTTGGTGCGTTGACTTATCTGGTTGGATCTCCATACGTTTCGTAAACTCGCAAAGGCAGCCCTAGCCTTCTTGATTCGGGCACCTATGTCGCTCTTGGTCCCGCCGTCCGACGCTATTTGGCTGCCAAGATATTGGAAACTTTCGACCTTCTCCACTGCTTGCCCCGCTACCGTAAAGTTGGAAGGGTTGCCCGTGTTGATATCCAACGATTTGGTCTTGTTGACGTTGATGGTGAGACCCGCCGCAGAGGAGCGTTCGGCTAGGTCATTGAGCTTACTCTGCATATCAGAGCGCCGTTGTGCTAGTAGAGCAACATCATCAGCCAAATCGAAGTCGTTGAGATGCTCCATGGTGATAGGCTGCCAAAGCAGCCCACGGTTCGGTACACGGTCAATTGCACCTACCATGACCTCGTCGATTACGATGAGAAACAGTAGCGGTGATAGTATGCATCCTTGTCTCACACCAGCGACTACCCGGATAGGGTCGGACAAGGCTCCGTTATGCAGAACTCTGCACGTGAAAGCCTCATAATGCGCTTCGATGAGGTTGACGATTTTATCCGGGACTCCCTTGCGTCTCAGGGCGCCCCACAGATTCTCGTGATTGAGACGGTCGAAAGCTTTTTCGTAGTCAATGAATCCCAAATAAAGGGACTCTTGGAATTCATTGACCTGCTCCAGGATGATGCGGAGCGTGACAATATGGTCCACACAAGATCTTCCGGCACGGAATCCTGCCTGCTGCCGTCGGAGAGTCGCGTCGATCTTCTCCTGTATCCGATTCAGGATAACTTTGCACAGAACTTTGAGAACAATACACAGTAACATGATGCCTCGCCAATTGTCGCACACAGTCAGATCCCCCTTCTTTGGGACCTTCACTAAGATGCCCTGCATCCAGTCGGCCGGAAAAGTCGCGGTGTCCCAGATATTACAGAATAGTTGATGCAACATTTGTGCGGATAGCATGGGGTCAGCTTTGAGCATCTCTGCTGATATGCGATCGACCCCTGGAGCCTTGTTGGATTTCATGCTTCGGATAGCTGCTTCAATCTCCTGCAGTAATGGGGCCTCGGAATTGACGCGAGTGATGCGCCGCACCCTAGGCGGATCATGCCGAGATGTTGATGGCTGGTTGGCCGTCGAAACTTGAAGAAGTTGTTCGAAGTGCTCAAACCAGCGTTTCAGCTGGTCAGTGGGGTCGGTAAGCAATTGTCCAGTCGTGTCCTTCACTGGCATCCTCGGGTTCATCCTTGCTCCACTCAGGCGTCGTGATATATCGTAGAGGAGGCGTATATCGCCAGTGTTTGCGGCTTTCTCCCTTTCGTCGGCCAGGGAGTTCACCCACGCTCGCTTGTCCCGTCTGCAAGAGCGCTTGACTTCCTTCTCTAGAGCCGAGTACCGTTGACGGGCTTCGTTCTTGGCTCCTCTGGTTCTCGCCCACTCTATCGCGGCTTTTGCTTCTCTACGCTCCTCAATCTTCCGCCAGGTTTCATCTGTGATCCACTCTTTCCTCTGGGTGCGCAGCTCACCCAAGTTGTTCTCGTTTGTTTCTATAAAGGCATTCTTGATGGCCGTCCATTGTTCTTCTACGCTGCCACTGCCAAGAATTCTATTAAGGATCCGAAAACGTCAGAAGCGTCAGGAAATCATGAATATGTATATATCAGAAAATAAGCCGGATTATTAAACAAATTAAGAGAACTTCAGGTAAGCATAGATAAGTTCTGGGAAAATTAGTGAGCATTTATAATGGTTATAATACTTAAGGAAAATTGTCGAAACTTCATGGCAAATCAATTCATTTCAGTAAAGTTGCGGGTTATTAAAAAAATACTAATAAGTTCAGGGCAGTCTAGAGAACTTTAAAGAAATTCAGTAATCGTTTAGGCGGTTTTAATAACACCAAGTCTAGACTATTGAAGCAGTTTTAAAGCAGTGTCGATAATTAAAGGGAAGTTTCATGAACTTCAGAAACATCTTGAGAACTTCAGTGAAAATCATAGAACTGTATTAATTATTTCGTTCTAATTCCATAAACATTGCGGGGGCACAAAAGTTCCAGAAATTTAGAAAAACTTCGAAAACTTCACAGAAGGACAGTGGTCTTCAGAAATATTTCGAGAACTTCATAGGAATGTATGGAGCTTAAGGGGAGATCCGTGAACTTCAGGATTTTTTATGAACATTAGCAAAATGCGGAAGCATTTGAAAGAAGTTTAGTAAGCTCCAAAAATTGGAGGAATTTCAGAGGGAGGTCAGTTTCATTAGTTTCAGAAAATTTGTGGGAACTTTAAAGCAGTTCCCAGATTTTCAGA